AGTCTTTGGTTTCCACATGTGTTATTCTTTCTAAGCTCTGATGGGGTATTCCCATATATTTTCCTATATGCTGGGCCAATTTAGGATGAAAACAGTTGAGAAAGCATGGGACTAGGCTACAACTTATAAGTAAAATAGAAAATCTACGTGAAGCAAACCACATCATAATTCTTATGCCAACGAGCCCTGTACCATAGTCACACCCACTGTGATAACCAGTAGATCCATAAGCTACGCTCATAAACATCGGAGAGCACATTACTCCAAATATAATTTTTGAAGACCTAATATTGGTTTTACATGGTGCAGACGCGTTCTTCTAAGAGCAGTCTCGACAACTCTATGCTTACAAAGTGTTGTGTAGAAAGTTGGCTAGATTTTAATCGGCAGACATTATAAATTGATTCGCTCCATAATTTAGTCTCCAATGCTTCACAAGGAGTGATTACTGTAACGGGTGTAAATATTTTCCTCTCAAAATAGTTATTACCGTAAATCTGTCATCTTTAATCTTCTTCATTTTAATCTGGCGTTTTATGCACAATGCATTCGTTCGTTCTATAAGCTAAATTCTCGCAATGAAAACAAATGTCATGCTATGTTGGTCATGTATTTTTTAATCCTACTCATGCTTATTCGCTTGTTTTTTGTTTTATGCTCTGATCACCTCGTTTTCTGCGATGCACTGGTCTTACGTTTAGGATAAACATCCTTTAAGTTTCACTCCTTGTTTCATCTTCTCGTTTGCGCGATACTGAGTCTGCTCTGTCTTGCAATTAGCTCCCATGGACTTTTCGTGCCCTTCTCATGCTGCTCCTCCTCTTTTATGACTGCCTTCCCCTTTCCACAGCCTTTATGCGTACTTTGCGAAGGGATTTGGCTTCTGAGCCCCTTGGGCTGTATGGCCGATCGAGGCCGACAGCGAGGGAGAAGTTACCACTGGCTGCCCGATCTGTTCGCAGTCGCGTGCTTTGTGGCAACAATGAGAAAGGTGTTGCGAGCGATGCCACCGAGTTTACCAAACGGATCGATCGGGAGTCGAGGTGCAAGTCGGTAGCTTCCTAGACCTCCTCCAAATATAGACAAACGCGTCGCGAAAGGCGAAGGCCATTGATGCGGTGCTCGGACTGGTCACTGGTCGGATTGAACAATTGCGATCCTGACAGTGACTACGGTATGGCCCTGCACGAGAAAGCTTGCTCTTCCCTTGCGTCCAGGATGTCCAGATGAAGGGGCGATACAGTACAACAGTTCCACGATTTCGTCGCTGCATATCATGAAAGGATTTCTGACAAGCTCCGTCCCCGGCTGCTAACGTCGCGCGATATTTTGGACATTGATGAACTGGTTCTCGTAAGGTAGCGACCATTTCGAGCCGTTTGACTGTGGGAAAAACAAATACCAGTTGGCTTCGAGAGGGAGGATCCTTCATGCTCCAATCTCTCGAGTGACAGGTGTTGCTATTGTGGATGCTAGTGTCACCCTGTACCCATTGTTCAAACTAGAGAGCTGGCTGGCTGGCTGGCTGTCATCAGGCCTAACTGTAGGAAAATGCCCTGAACCTGGAGAGTCTCGGGCCTCTGTCTGATAAACTTGATCTCTGAATGATCGCCATTGATTGCTCCCAAACTCCAAACTTCCGGGATGTTGGTTATTTGGTCCTCCATTCGATTGTCTGTTATATTCGTGAAAGTCTCTCCAAATTCAATTCAGCATGTAGCTTATTCTGACAGCAGGAGGAGTCAGAGCATCCACCGATCGTGAGAAGCATAATTTTGCAATCACTTGACGGAGTAGTCTGCGCGTGATCTCCTTTGTCCTCTTATGAAGACCTCATCAGACATGTTAAGCTTCGAACTCCATGTACTAGAGCACAAGGAGACAGGAAAAAAAAAACGCGATCCAACTACAACATCAACGAACGTACAACGCCAACGTCCAAGTCCAACGAAAGATTTAGTCCAAGTGCCGAAATAGTGTTTGGTGTCTCTTCTAACTTATGCAAATAAGATATGTCTACGATCAAAGGTTGAATTCTCGTTACAATGGATTCAATGTTTGGTGTTGGCACTTTATTAGTATAATACTAAATTGACTCTTTATTCAATATAGGAATAAGCGTCAATACCAAACATTAATTCAGTATTAGTGGAGTTGAGATAGTTCTCAACCTTTTACCACAACCATCAATGTCTCCAAACCTCTATTACCTTACGATGTTAGTAGATTTCATAATAATTCTTCATCATTGAACAATCTTAATAATAAATTGATATAATGTAGCCATAAACCTGAAAGTCTGAAACAGAAATACTGAATTCATCTTTCTAAAACTGCATCCACTGAGTTAGAATCTAATGTAGCAAGTATAACTTCAACCAACATTCTTATATAGTGATGACGATAATTTATAATCACCATCTAATTAGGGTAGTAACAGAAGTAGAATAAAAAATGCATTACATGAATTGATAGTAATATATAAATTAAACTTGGATAAACTTAATTGCAATTAAAATATTACAAAAATGAGGTACTACTGAATGAGGTATACCCACCCTTTTGAGTAAAAGCCTTAAAAAAAGTGGCGAAAGATATTAAGAAGAAAGAATTATTTGAGTTGAGAATCGAATTCAAAAATACACATGAACGATTGAATGTGAAATCTTGGAAGGGTAAAAAAAACGTTCATGATAATATGAAATGTAACTTTGATGTTAAGACTAACTACCCATGACGTGGGTATCATTGATGATGTAATAAAGTTGATGATGTATTGCGCGTCTCAATTGAAACATCATATTCTTCAATCCTGTAGATAAATGATATTTATCCAAAAAGATTTTATAGCACAAGTGAGGTATCGTACTAGCTTGGGGCACATATGATGATAATAGACCATATGTCACCATAGTAAGCTCATAACAACATGAAATCACTGATACGTGGAGCTTGGGGTGTAATATGTAATGAACTGTAGTAACGTAAGATTTCCCAACATGAATAGAGAATGAGTCCCATATGGCTCATTCATTTTAAGAATTGCGAGATATATTCAATTTTTTTCCTTTTTTAATATACTTTTCACAATTGATGATTTACCTTTTCTAACCTATTATGAGTAATCACAAAGATCTTGTGTACGGGATTTTAAAACCGAGGCGAAATATGTGTCATGGATTTAGGACGCCTACTTTGATGTGGTACAGATAAACTCGACCTCATTGTGATCCCTCTAAAACACCAGAGATGGTCAATACGGTCTGTTCGAATACAGATGTACATACTCTTGAAAATGATGTTTTTCGAGTTTGTTCAAGTAATCTAACATGAATATTTTTAATATTCTCATTTCAAAGTCAAAAAAGTAGTTTCAATGATAAACTGAAATTTATTAATTTAATTAATAGAAAATCCTAAATTTAGTTATTAATTTATGTCAAACTGACAATTGTTTTACTCCTGTAAGTATTGCTGCTTTTTCTTATTGTTAAAGTTGTGTAACCAGATGAGGACATGTATTTTATTGGGAATGACCTCGACATAACTTACAAATCCAGACATATTTTCAGCAATACCAAAAATTGATAGAAGTCAAGAAAAGAAGAAATTGATCAAAACGATCTAAGGTTCTTGTAGTTTATGTATTCAGAGTTGCATTATCTCTCAATTTCGCGATTCAGAAGAGTTTAGTCATCTTTCACTGAAAGTGTGTAACTCTCATATGCGGTTAAATCTCCCAGGCCATTATCTGAAACGTTGTGAGGACAGTGAAATATACTGTGCCCCGCATCTTCCGCCGGCTCGGGATTCTGGACGCTAGCCATGCAAAATTACGACTGTAGTTCCTTCTATCATTGGACACAGAACCAGAACGTTAGCTCAGCGTGATCACGACCGATTCACCACTCGGCTCTAAAGGAATCCTCATTCCTCAACGGAAGATACGCAGTCAGCTGGCGCTCGAAACACCAAACCTCACCACAGTTCCGCGATCCGAACATGTTTTGTCTCACGTCGATGCCCATCTTCTGCGATTTTGTTCCCAGACAAGGACAGGCCTGCAGGCGTGAACATGCCTCTTACGCGGACTTGGGCGGATTTCTGCTTGCTCCACAAAGGCTCAGCCCGTTGGACCTTCGCCACATTTATTTCTGGAGATAGTGACACTGGAACTCTTCTGAACGAGCTCCAAGACAGCGAAAGAAACCCAAATTGAGACGAATACAAATCGCGAAGGTCGAAATAAGAGCAAGTTTGGGTGCACCAGGTAGGACAGGCTAACTGTACTGTGGTCCACGGGCCCCGGCAGGGGAAAGTCGCATGGTGGGCAGATGCCGGTGATCGACCCATTATGACGTAACCTAACTCGGGATAGAGCACTTGGGACCTCTTGCGGGACGGACAGACCCGGCAATAACTGCCCGGGCTGGAGCGCCTGCGCAGTCTTGCGGCTTTAAAAGGCGTGCCAGACTGGGATCGCCCCTTCTGCCCTCCGGCAATTGTGCGCATTGCTAGCCTGGACCATTTGCGAAACCCGTCCGGATATATCACGCACTCTCCGGGAGGGCAGTGTCGGCTGAGAGTTTGGGTGCCGGAAATGCATGGTCGTAGAGTCGCAAGAGGAGGAAGACGGCGACGGAGGACGCGGCGACAAAACGCCACGAACGCATGCGCGCGTGCGCCGCACAGTGACCGGATAAGAAGAGGACGAGCATCGCCAACGCCAGCCGCGATCCGCAAAGCTTTGCAGTTCGTGGCACCCGCAAGTGGGTCGTGCCGGAAAGCCGAGGGAGCAGCCCGCAGCCGCTATTGCGCCCACGAGGCTCGAGCTCGAGCTCGAGCTGAGTTCATGGGCCGGAAGCCGTGTCGATTCCAGCTCGCCCGGATCCAATTTCGACACGTCCGATGTGCTCGCCCCTGATTCTTCTCAACGTCACACTGCGCCTCTTAAAGTCAATTTTTGTCCGTGTCTGCCCCTCCGAGGGCCCCATCCCCCACCCTTATAGCCGTTGCCGAGCCCCTCGGTCGTCAGTATGATTGGCATCTCTCTCCTCTCGCTTGCTCTCTCTCGCTCCGCTCGCCGCTCTCGCGTCTTCTTCCTATCTCTGCTCGCATGTAGAGTCAACCAGCGGAGCAGAGAGTCCAATCTGACTGGATAAGAAAGCAAAAACTCCAATCCTCCGAGCCACTTCACTCGTCCACCACTTCGGCCAAGTGCCCGGCGACGTACATACCTTCCTTTCGTTCGAGCAGAAGAGGCCGGTGATATCATGATAGCGCAGTGCTAGGACAGCCCGGACTTATTACTACTCCTACTACTACTACTACTACTACTTATACGTAATCTCTGGCTGCCGCTGGTGGAGTCGTGGACTCTGCAAGGGAGCCACTGTCGTCGTCGTCTCGAGCTCGTCCCCGCGACTGAGAGAGAGCTCGTCCGCATTCGAGGTTCATCAGTTCATCACGAAGAAATCGATACTCAACTCGTCGTCCTCGTCGTCCTCGTCTGACTGACCAACCGACCTCCTCGCTTCAGCTGGGATGGGGCTCCGATCCGTGTCTCCGATACTGCTTCTGCAGCTGTGTGTTCTGGCATTATGCTGTGCGTTCGTGTTTTCTGATGAGGTACGGCTCTTCGATTTCAGTTCCATCTCCGCGGTTGACTTGTGCTCGGTAGCTTCATCTGATAGCACCCCTCAATTTGAGAACTACATTGCCTGTACCAAGGTGTACGTCATGCTCCGAGATCTTGCCATTCTCAGCTCGTCCCTGCTAGCTAGCGCTAAACGTACAGTCTGCATCGCGCTGCTGTCCACCGGAATTCTAGTTTTGAAGTAGACTCAAGTGAGAGCTCGTGTCGGAGCTCGAGCTGCAGCAGCTGCAGCGGCGTCGAGTCCACAGGGTGCAAATGTGTCAGTGTTCTGTCACTCATAACTCCTGAATACTGATTGCAGATGGAGGTCAGTATTTTGAGCGACTTCAAGGCTCAGGTGCAGCAGGATCCGACGGGAGCTCTCTCCAACTGGAATGCTAACGATACCAGTCCCTGTGGTTGGAATGGAATTGTCTGCGACGCCGCCGGATTTGTCACAACCATATCCCTGCCCGAGCAGCAACTCACGGGAGGTGTGTCTTCTATGCTGGGAGGCCTGCAGTTCCTTCAAAAAGTAGACCTGTCGAAGAATGGCTTCAGCGGCGGCTTTCCAACGTCGCTGCTGAATTGCTCTGCGCTTAGAAATATAACTCTGGCGAACAACCAGTTCTCGGACGGCTTACCTCAGGATTTCGGAGCACTGCAGAACTTGACTGCTCTCGAGGTTTACAAGAATAATTTCAGCGGTCCGGTGCCCACAAACCTGCCCAAGGGATTGAGAGTGCTCGACCTCTCAACAAACGGGTTCACTGGAGAAGTACCTTCGACATTGGGTGATCTGACGAGCCTGCGGGTCTTGCACTTATTCACAAATCAACTCACAGGCAGCGTTCCGACCTCGTTGGCCAGCTGCGTCCTGTTGGAGCGTCTTGATCTCGCCGACAATCAGCTCACAGGATCGTTAGCTTTCGAGCTCGGTGTTTTCACGAGGCTGAGAATATTGTCATTCTCCGGAAATCGGTTGACAGGTCAGGTCCAGGCTTCCATCTCCAACTGCACGGAGGTACAACGTGTTGACTTCTCCAACAATCTGCTCGATGGACCCATCCCGGCCGAGCTCGGAAGCCTTCAGAAGATGAGGCTGCTGTCGCTGTGCGGAAACAATCTAACGGGGTCCATTCCGGCGTCTCTCGGCAACTGCGCTGCTCTCAACAGGCTGCTACTCTGCCGCAACCAGCTCAGTGGAAGCATTCCCAGCGAGCTGGGCAACTTGAGTCAGCTGAATGTCCTGGACCTTTCCTTCAACAACCTCTCCGACGCTATGCCCTCTGATCTGGGTAAGTTGACGAATCTGCAAGAGCTGACTTTGAACGACAATCAGCTCTCCGGGCCCATTCCAGCCGAGTTCGGCAGCATGGTCCAACTCACGTCCATGAACATCTCTTCGAATCTTCTGACCGGCTCCATCCCTGCCACTTTGGGACAACTGAGTAGATTACAGGTCTTGGACTTGGAAGAGAACCAGATTTCTGGAGCAATCCCCACAGAGCTCGGCACCCTCGGTGAGCTGACGACCTTGAACTTGGCGTCCAACAACCTCACCGGCTCCATCCCTGCCTCTTTGGGACAACTGACTAAATTGCAGGTCTTGGACTTGGAAAACAACCAGATTTCTGGAGCGATCCCCACAGAGCTCGGCACTCTCGCTGAGCTGACAACGTTGAACTTGGGGTCCAACAACCTCACCGGCGAGATCCCTGCTTCTTTGGGTAACCTGAGCAAACTGGAGACTCTGAACCTCGAGAAGAACCAACTGACAGGCCCCATTCCCGCCGAGCTGGGCAACTGTGCAGCACTCAGAACCCTCAACTTAGGTTCGAACAACCTCACCGGAGAGATTCCGGCTGCTTTGGGGCAACTCAGTAACTTGGAAGTGCTTGCTCTGGGCGACAACAATCTCTCAGGACCCATCCCCACCGAGCTTGGAAATTTGACCGCACTGAAACAACTTCAGCTGAACGGGAACGAGCTCAGCGGCTCCATTCCAGAGTCCTTGGCCAACTGCAAGAACCTGGAGCAGCTGGATCTGAGCGGGAACCAGCTCACCGGAGAGCTCCCTGCTGCTCTTGCAACGCTGCCGAACCTGAAGGGTCTGTCTCTGGGCGGCAACTCCTTGTCAGGTGCCTTCCCGGCATCCTTGGTTGCTCTGACTGGCCTCACCTCGTTGGATTTAGCCGGCAACAACTTCACGGGCCCATTGCCCTCCGACCTTGGTAATCTCGTGAACCTCGAGTCGTTCAACGTGAGCGGGAACAGCTTGACTGGGCCCCTGCCCGACTCTGTGGGCGACCTCGCGAATCTCAAGGCATTGGTCGTGAGCGGCACTGGAATTACTGGACCTCTGCCTGCAACTCTGGGCAATTTGACGAACGTTCAGGTGATCGACCTCTCTGGCAACGCGATCGATGGGAAAATTCCTGCGGAGCTCGGAAACCTGAAGAATCTGACCTACCTCGACCTGTCCAACAACAAGCTGGACGGAGCCATTCCTGCGCAGCTCGGCAACGCCACCTCTCTGGAAACACTGGACCTTTCATCCAACGGTCTGGACGGAAGAATTCCGCCATCTTTGGCCGGCATCACCTCTCTCCAGAACGTGAATGTGTCTTCCAACACACTGGACGGTGCCATCCCCGACTCTGGATCATTCGCCAACCTGACCGCGGCTTCATTCGAAGACAACCCAAGACTCTGTGGTGCCGTTGTCGGGAGAGAGTGTACCGCCCAGGGCAACGGAGTTTGCGACGGCCTCGACTGCAGATGGGCTAAGATTTTGTTGATCGTCGGGTTAGTTAGTGCCTTTGTTCTCTTCACTGTGTTGATAGTGCTGTGCTGCTGCTGCTCATCGTGGGGATGCTGCAACAGGAAGAGGAAAAATGGAGCTCCGGACGTGTAGACCATGTGTGCTACTACTTCGTGCATAGACTCCCCCACAACCATCTTCATATCAAGCGGGCTTGAATGAATTATATTGTACTTAATTTTTTAGCAGCCGTTGTCCAAACAAAACATTTAGCGATCGTTTTTGCCACATTGGCATAAGTAAAAAGTAAAGTCCTTCTTTCAGTCACTCTGCCTCTAACGAATGTTCTTCATGCTGTGCGCTGAGAAATACCTGCTGCACTTCCTAAGATTGACGGTCATCTTCTTCCAGCATTAAAGCAACTGTACAGGCGAGTGCAATCCGACGTTTTTTATGACACTATGCCCCCTCACAATTCCCGAACAGTTGCGTTCTTCTGCGCCGACATGTCAATCCCAACGTGGCCAAACTTTTATTATATCCGTGGACGAATCGAACGTGAGTAATTACCGTACTAGGTACAGGGAAAGCCAACGATTGATAACACATTCCACACAGGCGGTATATTATATACGACTGTAGCGAAGTGGATAATTAAAACGCACGGTAAGATTTCACGTGAAATAGTACCACACATCATTCCATTCCTTTCCACTACTAACTTCTGCCCATTGTGTATCCCGAATACTTCTTCCAAAATCCGTATCATTCCCCTTTTTAATTACCTACGGTGGATTACAGTCTCAACGAACAGAGGAGAAATTTCACATTCCACCACTGGACTGGAACCCAAAAACTCATCGAGGCGAGGCCGAGCTGTACCGAATTAACAGTCCGCACGAGGAAGATGTCGAGATTGGAAGTGACCGATGGACAACACCCTTAAACAGTGCAAAAGGGGAATATACTCCGATTAAGAGAATAAAGTGCAGGAGTAGAGTAAAGAGCTTGCGAAAATCCGTATAGGGATGAATCAGTCTCCAGTCAGAGAGTACATAATGGAGTGATTATATATGTGTCCACTTACCTGAAGCACTGTTATTGGCAGCAACGAACGGGAAGATTCAAATCATGACTGCATTGGTGCCCAGGCTATGATCACTTTGTCGACAATTTGTACACGTGCCAAGTTATAATCCCAACTTGTACACCAAAAGGTGTGTTTTTCCGAGGTCACAACCAGGACCAAAGCTTTGGTCCACTTATAAGTGGGCTATAACTAGCCTAGACATTTGCATGTCCTACTCAGACCACTTCATCGAATTTTGATCAATTTCTCACTTAAATCACGTGGTTCTATCTTGTCTACCATGCTTCATAACGACTTTCAGAAAATTCTAATAAGCCTTGTTCCATTGCGTGTGATCTTATTACCTTAGGTAGGATTACAGTAGATAGGGCCCAAAGAATAACGCAAACAAAATCTAAGAACCCATCAGGCCCTCTTAGTTAATTTGGAGTCAGCCCAATCATTTTACAATGAAAAAGTATACCATATTGTATCTAAGATATTTATTCTCTCAAACTAAAAATCTACAAACAACATAATATCCAGAGGGTCATCGCTTCACCTATGCTCTATGTATGAATCTAGCTAGTGTTATTTGTACATTAGTGAAGAGATATGTTGTATGCAAAAGATTACATAATAAGCTAAAGAAAATTAAAAACATCACCTAATCAGATGGGCTTTGTGTATTCTCTTAAAATTACTTCCGCGTACATTATTCCATATATGCTCAAGGCTAGAGAGACAACAATTTTTAAATAAAATATAAAAAAATATTTTATTTTTAATTGAAAATCTTTGCTTTTTTTAAAGTCTAGTCTTTCATGAAATATAGTCAACAAACTCGCTTTTCTTTCACCTTCTTTAGTTAAGATGTCATAAACACGTTATGATCAACCTACAATGTTATCTTTTAACTGACGTGTTGTTAAATCTCATATCTTAGAAATGTTAAATCACTAGTATCTGAAAAAAATGATCATCATCTTAACAATTTTTGTAGCGAGATCAAAACAGTGACATTCAAATATTGATAAATCATCTGATAATATCTATGACAATGTCCACATAATTTTGATTTTAATACCATTCACCTTTCAGCGTTCAAGTTAACTTTGTTGAACATATGATGAGTTATGTATGAAATATATAAGACTTATATAAAAAATGACGTGAGTTATTTTACTACATGATGTAGATATTTGAAACTACAACCCAATGAATGTTTGTGTCATATCATAACAATTTTGTATATGTGTTGTAAATTGATATATTTAAAAGTTTGATGAAGATGATGGATTTTTATTGAAAAACTCAATTAACTCCACGTCATTGTATCATTACATATGAAAAATGATAAATTTAGTAGATCTATGTGTTTTTAAATTTGAGGTTCAATCAAATGTGATAAACCCTATATTAAGGCTAATAAGAATAGATTAGATTAAAATTTCAAAGTTATTTTTTACTCAAATATTTGCAATATGAATCTAGTTCATAGAATTTTTGAAAGACATGATCATAAACTGTTCTTCACATTTTCAAATAAAAAATCTTCAATTGAATACTAAATTTCTTCATGAAACGATATAGATGTAATAATTATGATTTTAAAAAATATTATTTTCAATTTTGATGTAAAAAATAGGACTTTGAATAAATCATCTAAATGTTATTGTTTTTGGAATTTCAAAAAAAACCCTTTTTTATGTGTTTTGAATACATAAATTTTTTTACATTATGATTTTTTTATTTTTTTTATACATAAATCATGTAAATAATTATTAGAACCCAATTAAGTGAGTAGTTCAAGTATACAGATTATTACCAAAATCTCAGTAAGCATAAAATTATAGAAAAGTCAAACTAAAAATTTTAATACATTATTTATGATAAAATTAGTTATTCTTATATTTATATAAAATTTTCAAATTTAAAACTTTTATATCAAAAGAGAAAATAAAATTACAAAAAATAATTTTGAAATATTAAGTTATAAAAATTCAAAAAAATGAAGAAGATTTTGAAATATGTATGTAGAGATAAATTATATTTAAAAATATTTTTGTTATCTTATGAGAGTGTCAATTATTTTCAATTATTTTCAAACAATATTTTCCATCAAGATGTCCTTGACATTGATTATTTTTATTACACTTACTTCACATATTTGTAAAAGATAAAATCTAGCTTATTCGTGCTTTATGTTCATGAACTATTGTTTTTTTTGATAGATTTATAAATTTTATTTATCTTTTCAATGAAACATATTATTATATAAGTTTTAATTTAGACCTAAATCTATTATCAATAATTTGATATAAATAAATAAATAAAAAATTTAATTAATATGTAAACATGAAAATTAGTGTAAAATTTAAAAAATGATGTAACTAATCACAAACAAATGTGATGTAATAGTTGTTGTTATACAATGTGCAATAGCATCTATTCATATCATATTGAAATTTCTTTACAAAGATGTTAAAATAAGTTTCAAATGTTTAAACTATGTTGAGAAAGATTCAAGTTGTTCTAATCATAAAAAATACATTGAAATATAAAGGAATGAAACTTAAAAAGTCTTTGCCCGACATTTTTGCAAATTTTTTTTAATATCAATAATGTACAAGGAATCGTCTCGAACCAGTTGAAGATTGTACTCAATTGTTTAAACAAAATCCAGATTTGAAGTTTTATTATAAATTAGACGTCGCAACACATAATAAACATGTAAAAAAATAAGATTTTCTGATTATTGCTCTAGACGTTCACGATTTGAAAGTTTGATTCTTCTTTATGCGTAAGTAAAATGAGAAGATTTTCAACCAAGCAAGAATTTGATCTCTATATTTTTGAACAGGATACGTTCTTAAACAATTGAAGTTGTTTTATATCCATATACCATGAGTAAATGAGTTATTTACCTAAATTTTCTTTCAAAGTTCAGTTCAGTACAGTACAGTACAATGCAGATATATCAAGTTAAGATAAATTGCAAGACCGAAATAGTATGAATATATGTATCATACATCGGAGGCCGGAGGAAGGATGGATGTAATATCGGTCGATTGCTGCACTGAAACTTGTCATCGTAAGATCCCTCAGTCGGTGAACTTCAGAGAATGGGTTTTGGGTTTGCCTGTGCGATCACTTGCTCGTGTCCGGCGGTGCTCAGCGCAATTCAGTTCGGGATCAGTTCATGACCTGAATTGAGAGGAGAAAGAGATTTTGGTGAAGTGGGTGTGAAGGGAGGCTCACGGCGGAGATTGATTTTGTCAATGCAATCATCGGCAAGATTGCTCGTGGGAGAGGCATGGAAGAGGCAGTTCCTATGGCAGAGGCACATCCACCTTGGACAATGTTTACAACGATTGCGTGTGTACTCCAGCCTTGCCACCAACGATGGAACTGTAACATACCTTCGCAACGCGGAGACGGGTGCGGAGTTGTATCTCGTTGGTACCGCCCATGTCTCTGCCAAAAGTGCGGAAGAAGTTAGGCAGGTACCTCACCCTTGTCATTAGCACCCTTTACAGAGATATATTTCCAGTTCAGATTCATTTCGGTTGAGCGGAATGATCCGCACGCATGGACTCAGTACAGATGCCAGGTTTGGATTTGAATGTTCGTTTGAAATGTAATAATTTCGTACGCAGATGGAGAAATGGTCTTGTGCTTCATTTGCTTGTGGATCCCCTGGCAATCAGCAATTTTTGATGTCATCCTGATTTATCCGTCAAAGTGGTTGTTTTCCAGGTTATTCTTCAAGTGAAGCCTGACACAGTCGCCGTAAGTTTTCCTGCCTTCGCTCAGTAAATCTGTGTGTACTTGTTTTAATTTCATTTCTAGACGTCATGGCGGAAGTGCCTGGTCTTTGCAGGTGGAGCTTTGTGCCGAGAGAGCGAGGAAATTGATGGCTGGCGAGGAACATAAAATTCAAAATCTCCTTCGTGAATTTCTCAACTTTCCTGGTGGGATCGGACAAAAGCTAGTGCACATTGCCACAAAATCTGTTTACACCCTACTTCGGAACACTGGTTTAGAACCTGGTAAAGAGTTCAAGGTTTGTGGTGACAGTTGTGCTGGCATGCCAAATTAGATTCCTATCTGGATGCTTTTGCTTTTTTAAGTGTACGAGATTATTCATCAGCAAGATCGATATAGTTTGTGAATCACGAGCCACGATGCCTAGAAACTAGTGCCCAACAACTGCATATCCTGTGCGTGAAGTTTACCCACCTCGCAATGAGCTCAGGAACCTCTGGGTGTTTTATCTCACAAACGAGATGATATCTAGCTCCTGTGTAGATGAAAAGAGGAGATTCTACCTGCGGGAAAGTGCATGTGATGAAACTGAGTTACCTGACTTACATAAGTGAACTTGTGATGCAGGTTGCAATAGCAGAAGCGCAGCAATTGGAATCGAATATTGTCTACATTGATCAAGACTTTAGGGTATGTGTCCAGGAACTTCTTGATAATAATTGTTCTTCATTTTCAATTTAGCCCTGAGCTATGTGTCCAAGATCACTCCACTTCTTAGTCATCAAATTATCGTCTCTTGGTTCCATGATCAGAGGTGTATATTGCAGCAAGATAGATCAATTTGAATTCGCTCTCTGCTTATATTTAATACATAAGCTGTTCGGGTTCCTGCTCATGCTTCAGTCATACCATTCTATATTGAGTGTGAAGATTTCGCTTCTGTTTTGTGCACTTAATTGTAAATATGTTCCTGTTGTCTGAAAGGTCAAAGTACATCAAACATCCCTTAGTCTTCATTTTCGGTCCTTGTGTCTCACTTTTTTTCCCTCTATTTTCAAATTTCATCACATACACGTGAACTATGATGCTGATCCGCCTAACATCAAGAGCTTAGACACCTGGACATTGAAGACAAAGGATCACGTAGGTTAATTCGGGAAAGATGCCGGACCCTAAAACTTAGAGAAATGAGGTCAAAGAGGAGAACAGCTAGCTGATAGGATTAATTTAAGAAACGTGACCTGGGGCAATTCAAGACCCCCGCTTATACACATGTCCTTATAATCGCTTGGAAGTCTCACCATCGATTCCTCTCGCAGGTAACGTTCAAGAGGATAGCGGACGAAATGACTTATCAAGATGTATTCAAGCTTCTGACCAAGCAGACTTCAGACATGCCTGCGGAACTTTTACGAGAGTTCGAGAAGGGGGACTTTGTCGAAGGGGTTGAAATGTTGAAGACCAGAGAGAATGTAAGAGTGCTAATGAAGGGCATGGAGGAAGTTTTCCCAAACTTGGTAAGAGACTGGTCTGCCTTTTATTCATATGCATGTTCGAATCCTTTGATATATGCCCTTTTCTATTTGGTATGTTTAGGAGTCCAGGATACGTCATTGCGGTTCACATCAGACTTGCGCAGGTTCTGAACGGGGCTTTTTACACAGGTTAAGGTGCTCATCCATGAGAGAGATGAGCTGATGTTTAAAAATCTGCGTCAGTGTAAAGGTACCGTCGTCGGCGTCGTCGGTATGGCACATATGGATGGTATCGAACGCCTCTGGAAGAAGCGTGACACTTGATTAGAATTTGCCAATCAGGAGATGAGGAAGATTAGTCTACACTTGACGTTTGAGAAAGAAAGCAAGCAAGACTCTCCATAAGGGCTCTTTTCAGAAGCTGATCTTCAAGTTATGGCAAAGAGAGAATAGCAGAAAAGCCATGTTAACGAGACTTTTTGCCGAGGGGGAGTTGACTTACAGGATACCTGGGGATGTGAATTTGTAAAACACGAACATCAGATCGTGAAGAATGGCTGCTTGATTGCAGCTAGTTACGCAGAGTACCCTTGAAAGGAAGGAAGAATTGTCCTGGGATGGAGTATATTGTTGGTAGCAGTAGGAACACAGGAAAAGTTTTGGGAAGAGAAGTTTATCAAATCATAACCTTGACCATAGACTGGACCAAGATTTCACCCGCTTGAAAAGATTATTATCTGTACAGCTGTTGAGGCAACGCAGGTTGAGAGTTTTGTTCCGTGTCTGAACTCACAAGCTGAAAACGGTATGGTTGAGAAATCGTCTCTACAGAAGCAAGCAGAAGCAAGACTAGTAACCCGAACATTGTTACTACTCTCGCTTGAGGGAAACAGATCAGAAAAGGTTTTCATTTCACTACCACAGGTTTTAAATCGAATGACGATGTATCGGTGTAGCTGTTGAGGTAGATTATTGATCTGCGCTCTCCCTGTGGGCGTTGCATTTTTTTTAGTGCACTAGGGTTACTCCTCATTTCCTTTCTTAATAATTTTTCTGTTTGTGGAGATTGCCACATTTGTAAAGGAGGCTTAAATCAGATTCTCCATTGGAGTTTGCTTCATATGATCCACGAGTAAAGAATGTGGCAGCTTTTAAAGGTTAAAGATCCTGGGTTTGTGGTCCTTGATCATGTTCTGTTCTGTTTTTTCTTATTCATGGTCGACATGCATGACTCCTAGATGTACAAGACTACAGTGCTCTGGAAACTCCCATCTTTGGATGGATCTCATGAGTCTTCGATGCTGCACTTATCTTGACATTCGGGTAATCGCTTAAAGCTCCAAGCAGAGTCTAGATTCATTTCGCCTTACTAGTTTCGGTCGATTACATATGTCCTTCCCTGAAATAATCTTCATATTTACAGTAGGCAGTCGCAGGTGCAAATCTCGTCCATGAGTTTTCTTTCTCCGTAGCGATAAGCATTGCTGTTGCTTTCGATTATGGTTTTGATTATGATTATGATTCAGATCTGGGCCGTCAAGACGATGAGCCCAGTACTCTCTTGGAGAGTGGACACTTATTTGATCTGTAACCATGTCAATTTCCACGGAGGGCATGGTTTAGTGGGGACAGCTTTTCTTTTTCCTCCTCACAGAACACCCACGAAAGACCCAGCTTACCAAACTACAGACAGTCCGTGTGCATTCACTCATGCTTGTAGGCCTAGAGAGAAGAAGCCTTCACATGCAAGCCTGCGCAGACACAAACCAGGTCTGAGGGTAGCCTCCGTATCAGTACAGACACCAGCTCAATCTCTCCGTGTGTCGCTACAACTGGTTCTAATCTCGTGAAACTCAGAGAGAGTCGTGCGTTCCCACCTCAGAACCTCAGAATGATAGTCAAACCCTGCAAATGGAGAGCGAGAGAAGGGGATAAAGCACGTCCCGAGAACCACCCACGGACCAGAAGGACCGTTCCCCCGGGGCCCCCACAAATGCAAAACTGCGGATCGAAAATGGACGAACGTGTCCGGGGGGGACCATCGCCCGGACATTGGTCGAAACCGGGGGGCCGGAGGCGATGCTAATGGAATGCGGTCACGTGGCGCGCGAGCGTGGCCTTCCACTTTCGAGCCTGTTTAGCGGAGTTGGCGGATGTGCAATTTAGCGGGAGACGTGGCGTCATAGTTATCGTGTCTTCGCGGGGTTTTGTCGACGCTCGCCGCCTCGGGCTGGTCCGGACTGCGCTTGCTCTGTTTGTCTGCGCTCTGTTCTCTTGTGTGTGCGCTCGTGTTGAGATAAGGGAGCAGAGGGGACTTGAATTGCTGGCAAGGAAGGAAGGAAGGAAGCAAGCAAGCAAGCAAGGAAGCGAGCGATGGCGACTATGGCTGTCTCGGCTGTTGCTAGTTCGTCTTTGTGTCTCTCGCCTCCCTCGTTCGACGGGCTTCGAGTACTACAGCAGACAGCAGCAAGTGTATGTTATCTCCTCCTCGCTTGTACGATCGTCTCTTGTGCGTAGATGAATGTCGGCGTTGCTCGCGAAGATTTGTTCGGATTTTTGAGTGGGCGTGAAAGCGTGGAAGTTGGTCCTTCCCTTGTAACTACGAATTGTTGCACCACATGTTCCGTTAGTGAGTGTCGAGGTCAGAGACGTTTGTGGTGTCAATGTAAGTCTTGAGTGGCAATTGAGGAGAATTGGCCAAGCATTGTATGGTCTGTGATAGAAGTTGCTTGGATTTCGGCAACATGTGAGCAGGTCAAAGCCGCGCCATCTTTGACAAAGAGGAGCAACAAAAGATCGTTGATTGTAGCCGAGGGTGTTGATTCCACAGCCACTTCAACGACTACTCCTCCCGCAGCTTCGTCTAGCAAATCGTCAGATGTAACTATTGAGTACCAGCGGCAAAGAGCAAAGGAGCTCCAAGATTACTTTGCTGACAAGAAGTACGAGGAGGAAACCTTCAAGGGACGAATTTTCGGCTGGACGAGGAAGAATGAGATTACGAATGGCAGGTACGACGTTTTTTTAACCGAAAGTCTTCTTTCGACGGGGTGCCCGAATGAATTGACCCTCGTTTTCAGGTGTCAGCTCTTCATTACTACGCTGTGTACTTCACAACTTTGTCATGCCTGCCTTGACATATCTACGCTGCCGCATGTTATATCGGGCGGCATTTGTGTGCTCGGTTTCGTTCTGCTTTCCGATCTCCCTGCCAAAGGGAGATCGGAAAGCAGAACGAAACCGAGCCAATTATCCATGTGAGATTGAACTTTTTGTGTTCTGTCTCAGCAACCTCTCAAGCCAACCCCGTACCATCTGGAAACCTTCTGAGGACCTCCTTCATAGTTCTTCTATACCTGAAAACCCTGTCCCTTTGATCCTCTGCAAAACCGGTAAAGAGGTTGAGATATTTCTATTCTTTTTGCAACTTAAGATGAAATTAGTGGAAATTACCATTTTGAGCCTTATCCCTTTGTTTGGTAAGCTTCTGCATTTTAGACGCACCGATTGTCAGGTCTGTTTGCCCTAAGCGAGTCGATTACGGGGTGCACACCATACCGTTCGTGCGGAAATTGCTTCACCCCATCTTCTCCTGCAGAGGATGTGAAAACGTGACTCTCAATGTGTTAGGGCATCTTGATTTCCAAGGTAAGAAATGGCGCTAGGTCCGTGGTGCTGTAGGAGACCTAAGTCTGGAACCGCTCATATAGAAGAATACTCCTTCAATTCCTTCCTTCTTTCAAGAAGTTTCGTCAAACCACCAGCGCTGCTTTTGAAGATATGGAACAATTGGACGTGGAACCTGCACAGATTGTCGCTGTATTGGTCTCCCTTGTTTCTCTGATTAAAGAGCGCAGGATGGAAGCAAAGCTTAGTTTGCTTGTTCGCTAGCAATGCTTCAAAACGTGGTGTTGCTGATGTGTATGTGAATGTGTTTGTCGACCGGTTGTGAAGGTGGACCATGTTCGGAATTGCCGTGGGGTTGCTGACCGAGTATGCCACCGGGTCAGATTTCATTGAACAGTTGAAAATTATAGTCTCAAACTTAGGAATTGCAGACGTGGATTGATTACAAGTCCCTCATCCACATGGAACAAGAAGTGCCTGTGTCACTGATTTTTTAGACCGGTATTCAACTGGGTCGGAGAATCTTCGACGTCAACTGCTGTGACAACGATTTTTGTTTGTATACCAGAGAACTCCGACAGAAGCAAATGCATGAGGTCTTTGATCAAATTTTTAGGATCTTCAATTTTAGTCATGTCCATTTTAGTGCGACCTCCGTAATTGCAACTTGTAACATTGTAGTGTGTCTGTATTCTAGGCTCTCCCGAGCGAGCAATAAAGTTGTTATCAATCTTAAGACCACGGTTTCGTGCTCTGCATACACGACAGCCAAAGACTTTCATTGTGGCTCTCAACCTGACAAAGGCTCGCGTTCTGGGGAAAGAAATTGAACTTTCATCAACAGAGAACGTTGTTGAATCAGCTTTGAAATTCGTCTCTGCAACTGGGAAGCCCAGCGCCAGTTCCTAGACTGTCTCCTCACTTTGCTGTAACTGCAAATCCTCGTGGCATACTCGCAGTCCTGCAGTGCGTTTGATTCGTTTCCCCCTGTGATGTGCACTTTTATGAAGGCTTCCGAATAAGCATCCGACTCTCTGGTTATCACTTGATCTGGAAAGCATGGGCCATGTCTCGAGGAGAGTCTTGATAAACGTGGATGCTATGGAATTTGGTCGGCGTATCGATCTTCATGGGCATAGCAGAAATAATGCTGGTGAGGGTCCTCACCCCTTCGAATGCCTAGCTTCCCTGGAACACTCCCCAAACAAGGAGAGTGGCGGAAAACCGAAGTCTCCACTCTAGCCACTGCCTTTTCAATTGATCTTCTACAGTTGGCGATGGGAACCATTGAGGCGAGAAGATTTGACGAGGAACTTTCACCATTGTCACATGCACAACCCCATGACAGTCGTATTCGACTCCAAGCATGCTAGGGGTATGTTTACATGGCTGGTGATTCGGGTGTTGAGTGTTTTAGTTCGTGGGGGCAAAGACATTTCTAGGTTATCGGAGAGGGCTAAAAATCAACGGACAGTATTTTCTGAGCTTAAGAAACAGGTCATAATGGTGAAGAGCGGTTGGAAAAGTCATTGCACGAAAATCTTTCACTTTCAGCAGGAAGAAGACCCTCGATAATTGACCATCGACGAAAGGCTGTAGTAACACTCATCTGGAAAAGCACACTCTTTGTGTGCTTATTCACATTCCAAGTTTGTGAAGATCATTGGTTATATAAACAGGGTCAAATGTGACATTTCACTAGTTGCTACAGTGCAATGATGAGCAGACTTTAAAACTTACTTCACGTGTTCAAACTTTACTTAATAACTCTCAATTCTCCATCTCTCTAACAACTGGTAGTGTCCATCTTAGAGATTTCAATTGGCCAATACAGGGAGCTTCTAATGGAGGCTACATTACTTTTCAATCACGATGAAGTGAGAGTTTCATCTTGTCTCGATATTGTGTTCCAATTTTTATACGCGCTTTGTGATTGCCTTGCTGAACATAATAACTAACTTCGTAAAATTTTGCGAAATTTATGAACAAGTTTGACCAGTTCATGAAGCATGTTGGTCTGCTTCTTGATGCTATCCGTGACATATATTACAGATCGGTTGATAACGTGACATGTGCAACGAACATAAAGTTCATCCTTTAGCTCCAGCTTAAGTTCATCATTCGAAGTATTGGGCATGTGTTTCATAGGGATTGCATTTCATGCACATTGTTAGAATTGGTGATCTCGCATTTGAACTTGACATTATTGTGGTAAGACTATTAAATGACAATGATAATGCAATGACAAAATAACAAAATGCAAAATGTGAAAACATGACTTGTTCTCCTTGTTACTAATATGATGTCCTTCAAGTCATATATATCAAAAGCATTAGCCAAACTACCTATTTCTATCATCAACAATCAAATCATCTTGAGAAAATTACTTGATGGTATTCCATTGTAACACAAATAGTTGGATGATACCGATCACATATTGTTTTATACGATGGGACTCCACCGACGGGACAGGTCACCCATGTTCATATATTTTTCAATGGTGAAGGAGCGGATGATGAGGAGAGACTGCAGATAGAAGAAATTATTTTCTTTTCAGTGAAAAGAGAGGTTGCAAGGGTTCACCTAGATGACTTTGATCATTCCTCTAGTCTCCTATGGGAGCCGGATGAGGGAGAAATTTCTCACGTCCGCATCTTTGAGAGCCTCCGGGCTACTCTCTCAAATCTTTTTGGAAACAGAACACTTTTATCGTGGAAGTCGATTTGCTATTAAAGTGGCTGAAATTTGATACGTTTCGTGTAGAGGTGAGTATCACTGCATTGTTCTGGTCGCAGGAGAGTTCCAACCACAAGGTGATCACTCTCACTCTCGTAAAACACGTGCACAAAAACCCATAACATGATTGTCGATATGCATGACGTGTATTGTTTTCTTGTTCAATTCTAATTAGATTCCTGTAGATCGTTCGGCTTTAAAAAAATGACTTGAACCGGAAATTTGAGCGAGGTCGATTTGATTTGGATGTATTGTATTTATTGGATTATTTTCGTAAAGATTTTTCTCTGAGCATAGAGAGACGGACGCTATCTTGATGATTTTCTTTCACATTCGAATTGTGTGCACAACGTCAATGCTGCCTCTGCGAAAATGATACTAAGTAGATAGTATAGATAGTCCTAGTTGTCCTAGTACATGGCCATAGTTGGCATGTACACAAATTTGAATTCAAACACGCTTCATATCACCTTAGAAGAAATGATTATCAGTCGACATTAGTGTTGAGACTCTGTGTGAGTACTCACGTTCATCTCAAGGTCATTCACGCAATTCTCAATGTCTCATAAATAGTAACATAGATTCAACCAAGTTGGAACAAGTTGATACAAGAGATCACTTCCCCACACTATTGCTCGCAGCATGTAATTATGGGAACTTTTTTTAGAACTTGATGATAGTGTGTCAAATTATGGAGTATAACTATATCTGATAGGTTCCATCAAGCTATTTGTGTTACGATGGGTCCCATCAAATAATTTTCTCAGTGACGTCTTATGTATTGCAATTCCCCTCATATTAAGCTTAACTTCCGAATTACATGAGAGAATGCTAGTCTTGATGTTCTTTGAACACAAAGAAGAAGGTTCTCGATTTGGGCAGTGTTTGCAAATATCTTACATCTTTGCTTTTGTACTATCGAGATGCTCACGGTCTTGCTCGTGGATATTGAATAATGATAAGATCTTGAAAAAGTGGAGGTGTTGGAGCTAGAAATGTTGTTTCCATTGTTAGCCATTAAACATTTATTGTTCAATGAAAGATGCAAAATTAGTGTTACGGGAAAAAAGAAAAAAGAAAATAGTACCCTAAACACTATATCGTGCCTTTTGCAAGATTTCTTCACCCACTTGAAATATCTCCATACCCATGAAGATGATATCTTACATGTTTGCTTTTGTACTATCAAGATGCTCACCGTCTTGCTCGTGGATATTGAATAATGATAAGATCTTGAAAAAATGGATATGTTGGAGCTAGAAATGTTGTGTTCATTGTTAGCCATTGAACAATTATTGTTGAAAGATGCAAAATTAGTGTTACGAGCAAAAGAAATAAGAAAATAGTTGTTGAATGTTGCAGTTGAGAAGTTGTATAGTCTAGATTCTCTAAGGGCTATAGGGCCGGAATATGATTTTGAGATTGTCTCATGATGACAAGAGTGAGTGCAATGGAGTTTGACACTATGTCTTTGACTAACTAGTTTATAGTTGATTTAAAGTATTAGTCATGATAGTCAATACGTTTCAACCGATTAATCTACATTTCGGAGCTCAATGTGGCCATCCTTCCTCAAATCAAACCTAATCTTATCAGATTGATATCTTATCTTTGATGTAGAATCTCATCACAATTTTAGTGCAATTGTCACTCCATGAATTATTATGTTTAGCCTCTGATAATGTATTGACATATCCAGCAAATATGAAATGATGTTTCATTAATTGTGATGATTGCTTCATCAACGGATCCGGAGATGAACAACTTTTTAATTAATCTCGTATTTAGATCCAACATCAATAAGGATTAATGTAGATTCCAGTTTTTAACAAGTGATTATATAATCAATGTTGAAACATATTCAATATTAAATATTGCCTACAAATGTGAGAAAAGCATAATAACAAACGGTAATGAAGAATCACCAGAGCAGATTCGAAACTGAAAACAATTCAAACACATGGCTCAATTTACACATATTTTTTCTCGCTAAAATATATTGCAAGGTTAGGCAATTTGCATCATGTTGGCAATAGTTATTCAAAACATAATGGTAATACACTACATAAAATTTTAATATTTTTATCTATATGACTGGTATTTTCAAAACTGAGAAATTTTCTAAACTCTTCTATAATATAATAATGCATATTGGTGGTAAATTGATATTTGAAGTGATGAAAATCATATTCAAGTTATTTATAATTTTTTTTGGAATTTTACGAAACTGTTATAAAATTGAATTGACAATTATTGGAACAAGTTTTAAATTCAAGAACATTAGAATTAGGGAAATAATTTTAATTGAGATTGAAGATTATAAATTCTTTATAGAATTTATTGAAATATCATCTGATCTATTAATGTAACATAGTTAGGTGAATGAATAAAATCACCATAATTTTTCCTTATTCTTGATTGCATCATGAATTTTTAAAATTTTATCTTTTTGATAGTTCTAAAATTCTAAAATAAAACAAAAAATGAAATATAGGATTCAAATTGAAAAATTTATCCAAAAATATATGATGTATACATTTTTTTGAAAAATTCAATGAATTGGTTTTTAGATGCAAGGATTAAGATGTCGTGCGAATACATATCGCCATACACTCTACATCGCTGACATGCTACTCACATACACATACGCACACACATACACACATATAAGGCGCGAGAGAGTACACACTCAAATGTCACAACTGCCTCGTCCCAATCCAACCCGGAATCTTTTTCTTCTATCACAACAGGGTTTACCAGATTCCCTTCTACTTGAGGCTGCACTGTCACCTCCTGCTCCTGATCACGTTCCTCGGTGCTGACGACCTCCACTGTCTGGATTTCTTGTATATCACTGTCGTCTGCCTTTCCTCCAAGCGGCATTTTCCCTTCACACATCAACACTTCAGGGGACTGGGCTCCTTGAAGACTCGTGATGATGTATGTGGTAGACTACTGTCTTCAATAACTCTTCATTCTAATTTAAGGTCCAACGTTCCGTGTT